TAGCATCACCGAGCTGTCGAAAACAGGCGTATAAAGGCTAAAAACACCGCGTTTTTCTGCCGACATCCAGGAGTCTGGTGGCTTGGTCGACCCAACGGCGTTCGAAAATGAAAGCGCTTCAACTTTGCACAGAGGTAGATACCATCATGGAGAGTCGAACGCGCTACGTAGCGCGGACAGGCGAGGCGTACAGAGCGAGCCATCGCTACGTATACTAGTTTTGGCATTGTGCCACATATGCCTCAAAATCCGGCATTCGCCAAGAATAAATGAGAAAAAATCACGTCGGAAGATCGCGGAACCTTTTCGAAAGATCGCGCACTTTAATGGAAACAATCGAAATAGTGTCACTTGAAGCAGGTCCAAATGAAATAGTGTGCAACGACCCGGCGACGCCCCGGCGCAGGCCAGCGCCAGCGACAGATGACGTACTCGATACGTCGTTGGCCTGAAGACAAGATCAGGTACACCCTGCGGGTATGCCCACTGCGCATCGCTACGGCCTTGACCCAAAAAATGTCTGGCTGGACCTCGCGCCACCACTCCACTGCCGACCTGTTCAAGGCAGGTTGCAGGGACCTGTACGACAATACATGTAGCTGTGCCACAGCGACAGCTTGTACAGTAGCCCGCACCGCGAGTTGGTGGCACTGGGAACGAGGTCCTGGAAGCTAGTACCAGGCAGCTATATTAGCTTTCACACACCTCGGTCCCGACAACAGCAACCAGCCTCTGCCCTATAGCGCTCTTCCTACTCATGCGTCCCACCGACCCGTCCGATTCCATCGACGTCGCGTGATCTTGGTCTTCCGTGGAATCCGTCGACCCACTTCAAGTGCACTGTACACTATTTCCGTGCATATCCAGAAAGGCCGGGCTGGTCTTGCAGTTGGGAATTGAGCTCACGATGCTCGCAGCACTGGTCTTGGCGCTGGCAGCGGTCGCGCATGGCGGCCAGCATGAAGAGTACCTCATCTTCGAAGACACGTTTGACGACGCCTTTGACCTCTCGACGTGGAAGCACGACATTACGCTTGGCGGCAACGGCAACCGCGAGTTCCAAGCCTATGTCAACAGCCGCAACAACTCGTACGTCAAGGACGGCAAGCTGCATTTGCGTGCGACGCTCACCGACGAGGCGTATGGTGAAGACGGCGTCACGCAAGGTGTCATGGACCTCTGGGGTATGCGCCATGATCCATGAGTCTTGCTCATGCAACATGCAGGCACGTCGCCGTACTCATCGTGCAGTTCGCCGCAGTTTGTGGGCTGCCGCAAGACCGCGAGCGGTCTCGACATCCTCCCGCCCGTCCAGAGTGCGCGCATCCAGACCATGGAGTCGTTCTCGTTCAAGTACGGCCGCATCGAGATTGCGACCAAGCTGCCAAAGGGCGACTGGCTCTGGCCGGGCATCTGGATGATGGCCAAGGACAACAAGTATGCACACCATGTTGTGTCTGTAGGCTCATGGCGATGTAGGTATGGACCGTGGCCGTCGTCGGGCGAGCTCGACATTATGGAGTCGCGCGGGAACGGCCCCGACTACACGGACGACAAGGGCAACCCGATTGGCAACAACCGGTTCTCGTCGTGCTTTCACTTTGGCCCAGCGTGGAACAAGGACGCGTACCCGGTCGCGGTCAACGACACAAAGGCGCTGCCAAACCACCGCAGCTACGGCGAAGAGTTTCATACGTTTGGCTTTTACTGGGACCAACACGAGATGTACTCGTACATTGACACACCAGACCAAGTCGTGACGCGCGTCGCGGGCTACGGCAAGCAGTCGTTCTGGGACATTGGCCTCGCCGCGAACGCATGGAATGCTTCTGGTATGTCAACTGCAATCTCAAAGTGCAATCTCAAAAACGGCATCTCAATACAATGATATGTAGACTCGTACAACAACTTTCAGGACGGGCCGATCAATGCGCCGTTTGACCAAGAGATGTACCTCATCCTCAACGTTGCTGTTGGTGGCACGTCGATTGCCAAGGGCTTCCTCGACAACGGCTACTTTCCCGACGATCGTGGCAACAAGCCATGGCGCACCAACGACTCGTTTCCGCATCACAGCTTTTACAGCCAAAAAGACAAGTGGATCGAGACGTGGAACCAAGGTCATTCGACTGGACTGCACGAGCAATCAGCGAGCATTCTGTAGGTGGCGACCGCGTCAGCGACATGGCGGCCATGCAGATCGACAGCGTCAAGGTCTGGGGTCTCCGTGGCCTCTCGACCTTCACCAACTCGAAGAACCCCGTGCACCACTACGCCGGTACAAGCCACCGTATGTGGCATGCCTCATTGCCTGTTAGAACTCGAGACGCAGCTCGCCGACGACGCAACGACGTGCGACGCATGCGCGACGTTTGCCGACGCACTGCCGACGTGCATGCATACGACGACGTCGCAGTGCTTTGCCAAGGGCCATGTGGGCGCGGCCTGCTACGACAAGACGCGACCGTGCACAGCGCCGACCGACCGACTCCTCTTCCACGACGACTTTACGTCGCTGGACAAGGCCAAGTGGCAGGCCGAGGTGACAATGACGGGCAACGCGCATAGCTTCATGCACATGAGTGTCGACCGCCGAGAGAACGTGCATGTGGACAATGGCCGCTTGGTGCTCACGCCGACGCTGACCGACGCCGTAGGTGCTCTCAAAAAGTGGCAGGTGGCAGTACCGTCGTGCATTAGGTGTATGGTTCGCTCGACAACTCGACGATCGACCTCTGGGGCAGCGGTTTTGGCGACCAGTGCACGAGCAACTACAAGTTTGGCTGCCTCCAGACCGGCAACGGCCTCGAGATCCTCCCGCCCGTGCTCTCGGCCAGCCTTCGCACGGAGAAGAGCTTTAGCTTTCTGTACGGCCGCGTCGAAGTGCGCGCCAAGGTGCCCCGAGGTACTGGTCATCTTGAGCGCTAGCCTCTGACAGGATGGTGGTGCAGGGCAGTGGCTGCGACCGACTTTCCGGCTCTTGCCTAAGTACGACAGCTACGGCGAGTGGCCGCAGAGTGGCGAAATCACGCTCTTTGAAGGTACATTTTTCTTGATACCAACTCGATACATTGATACTTGGCAGGCACGGCGGCGACGCTGCACAGTGGCGTGACACTGGGTACGTTCAACGCTTCGACGCGACTGGAGTCGATCGCGTCTGTCGACGACGGCGCGTTCCACACGTATGGTCTCTACTGGGACGAGACGCAGCTCTACTCGTACGTTGACGACCCGGCCAATGTGGTGGCAACGGTCGACGGCTACGGCAACACGTCGTTTTGGTCGATGCTGCGCGCGACAGGCGACGAGAACGAGGTGTCGCCGTGGCGGCATCGTCCGCTGCACGCGCCGTTTGACCAGCTCATGTATCCAACTTGTCGATATGCTCTCCGAGATGACACTGGATGTAGGTATCTCAACATTGCTCTGCGCGTCGGTGGCAACGACGGCTTCTTCGCCGACAGTGCCAAGCCCTGGAACGACTCGGCGGTCGACCACAAGAAGAGTACGACCACTACACCTCTTTGGCTCGATGTCATGCCTAGTTGTTTAGCCTTTTACGCGGCCAAGGAGGCGTGGTTGCCGTCGTGGAAGGGAGATTCGTCGCTGGAGGTGGACGACGTCAAGGTGTGGGCGACGACGAACGCGAGCAAGTGGGCGTACCACGGTGCGTTTGACGCGGCGCCTATTGTGGAGACGACCATGCTGGGCGCCACTTCGAGCCCGGCGGCGTCCATTTTTTCTGATACGTTTGAGACGCTCAACATGCGCAAGTGGAAGCCCGAGATTACCATGCACACGGACGGATTTGGCATGTACGTCAACCACCGGCAGACGTCGTATGTCACCAATATGACGCTCCACTTGCACCCGGCGCTGAGCCGCGACATGCTCGGTGACTGGATGCTCACACAAGGGTACCTCGATATGTGGGGCACCGACGTGCCCAGCAAGTGCACGGCGGCGGCCAGCGCCGGGTGCGGGCACGTCAACACACCGGACGACATGGCCAAGCCCGTGACGCTGGCCGCGCTCCGGACCGCCGAGACGTTTAGCTTTCGCTATGGCACGATCGAGGTGGCGGCCACCCTCCCGCTTGGCGACTGGCTCCGGCCCAACATTGCTCTCGTGTCGATGGACAATGTCGGCGCCTCGATCCAAGTGCTCGCGGGGCGCGGAAACCGCCACCTGACGGTACATCATGTTGTGTAGGGTTAGGGTCACGAGCCTTGCGGTGTAGGACGCGACAAGTGGCGCCGACTGGAGCTGGCGACGCGTCTACAGCGGTGTGTGCGTCACATCAAGTACCTGCAACGTCAAGTCGACGTTGCTGCCATCGACGCCGTCGCGTCACATCTATGGCGTGACGTGGACCCCGGACGAGATCATCACGTACGTCGATACCCCGACGAATGTCGTGAGTCGCCAGCCGACGCCGCCGAGGTAAGTTCAAGTCGAGTGATTGAGGTCTTGACACCTTGTGCCTAGTTTGCAGTCGGATGCGTACCTCGTGGTGCGACTGGACGTGGGTGGGACGTCGAGCCTGGCGCACCAAGCGTTCCCGGCCGAGGCGACGCCGTGGAATACCACCGAGCCGTACCCGCACACGAGCTTTTACGCAGCCAAAGACGACTGGTGGCCGTCGTGGGCCGACGCGCCCACGCACGTGAGCGTCGAGGCAGCCTTCAAGATCCACAGCGTGCGCGTGGACGCCGTGCCTTCGAGCCATTGGCGCTACCACCGCCTCGTGGGCGACGCCGACCAGACGTTAGTGACCCTCCAGACGACAGCGCCGATCGCGTCGCCGACGTCGACCGTGGCGTCGGTGACGGCCACGTACACGGGGCCAGCGACTGCCACGCGTATGTTCTTGACGCTGCGTTCGTTCATGCTGACGGGACATGGGGTGACGTAGGCGCGTCGGTGCTCGCGTCCTTTCGGACGTATCTCGAGAGCGCACTGACGGGCAAGGACCATGTGGTCTACGGTGCGTCCAAGGTCGGTGACACGGTGATGGCCACCGTGGCGTACGAAGCGTCGGCGCCACTGGTTTCGATCGATGACCACAACCATTTCAAGGTACGTCCAGGACCCATATACGATCGAGTCAGGGTCGTGGTGTAGGTGACGGGTCTGCACACGCTGGGTGCGTCTGTCTCGATGGACGTGGAGGAGGCGCCGCACACGTCGATCTTGCGCCTCAGCGTCTTTGCCGTTAGCTCGCTCACGGTCGCCTTGCTGAGCGTCGTGCTTGTGCGCTGGGGCCTTGCGCGCTTGCGCCGCCGCAATTACATGCCCATCACCGCCTAAGGTCTTATAATTTTTCATTTGATTTTCGTTCGCTTGGGAATCGTGTCAAAACCCTAACCCGGGTTTTGAAAAGCGACGGGCTTGTCAAAGTAAAACAGTGATGGACAGGTCGATATCACAGTTGGTCCAGGGAGTCGAGAATGGGCACCTGGCCTGTCTAGTAGGGTGTGGACTGGGTGAGCTTCAGTTTGCAACTTGCTCTCGACTAGCTCGACCTTCCAACGACACTATGTACTCCTTTGCTCTTCTTCTTCTTGCGGCGGTTGCGGTGGCGACGCCGTGCACACCGGCGCAAAAGCAGCAGATGCTCTCGACGATCACGACCGATGCGCAGTGGCCGACGTGCCAGAAGGCGACGGCGCCGTACGACTTTTACAAGTCGCTCACGCAGGTCAACCCGGCGCCGACGTCGGCGCAGGTGCAGCTCTTTGCGACGACACCGGCGTGCGCGACGGTCTACAACGGCTTTCAGGCGGCGCTCAAGGCGGCCAACTGCGACGAGGTGCAAAACTTGACGGGGCTCGCCGTCGCGCCCTTTGTGCAACTGACGTCGCCGCCGACGAATGCGACGGCGCCAACGTTGACACCGATGACGTTGGCCACGACGACGACGACGACACCGACGCCGACATCGGCTGCGCCGGTGCGTGGTATGATGGTGACGGGGGCGATCACCGCGCTCGCGCTTTCCTTCTAAGGCGTTCAAGGGACCAGGTGCACACGGAGTGCTTGTCAGTAACACGAAATATCTCTTTTTAACAGCCTAACAAAATCAACAATTTGTACGTGAAATCAAGTCGAGTACCCACTTTACTGATATGATGAAGTTGGATACAGTCAAGCTATCCGATAGACGTATCCAGTGGACGATCGGATAACTTTACTGTAGCCACCATCTCGCCTCGGTAGACTCTAGTGATATACGATTCGTGAGACAACCAAATACAATGTACAATTCTGTCCCACTCGTGTTTTTGGGGAGAATTATCCATCGCTTCCTATCACAGAATATCCAACTATCCAACTATCGACGTACCCAGAGCAATATGTCATATTCATAGCCACGAGCGAAACTGGCATGGAGGTCTCGAACGTGCGCATGGGCCTCCGGCGCAAGGCGTCCCGGGGCGGCAAGCGGTAGCTGGTAGCTTCGCCTTGAGCCATCTCACGCTTGGTTGCGTAGCTTTAGCCTCGCGGGAGCGCCGTCCAAGAAGGGCGCGTCGACGCGGCGGACCATCTTGACGCCGGCCATGCGCCTCGAGGAAGAGACGATGGCGGCGACGATGCTCCAGCGCATGGTGCGGGCGCGGTTGGCGCGCAATGCGTTCCGTCGCGTCCTCTGCGACGTCTACCGCAAGGTCTACGGTACTTTATCATTCAATTTGGTATCTTTTGACTGTGCTCCTAGATCAAACCAACAAGCAAGTGCGCTACGTCGACGCCCGGACAGGCCTCTCGACGACGACCAAGCCTCTCTTGTTGCGGCTCTTGCAGTGCGACGGCCAAGAGATCATCGAACCTGTGCTGCCCCATGATGCAGCGGTACGCTCGGCGTTTTTCCCGGAATTAATGAGGAGCCGAGCTCGCTAGCTCCGCATCCAGCGCCAGTTCAAGACGTGGCGGACGCGGCTCTTGCTCAAAGACATGATTCGCGACTTGTACCAAAAACACATGGGTAGGAATATTGTCTATTATGTTATAGACAATACACATGTCGATGTAGACCCCGAGACGAAAAATTACTACTATATCAACACGCAGACGCACGAAGTGTTTCCTACCAAGCCCGTCTTCCTCGGTGACGACGACATTGAGATTGAGCGGTGCACTTTGTCGACGAGTCGATTAAGTGTACAAAAGGACAGTATAGGTTCAAGTACCGGAACGCCACGTGCCGCCTCTCGACAAGGTCCAATCTCATTGGAAATGGCGTCGCTGTGCTCTACAACAGTGTCGTGTGCGTCCTCACCGACTGTTTTACGCTGCCCGACGAAGACACGGCCCGCTACTCCCGCGTACAATTCAACTATAAACCAGGTGTGATGGAAATTTTTTTTTGTATTTTTATTGAAAAATAAATTGACAAATGCACTGTAGGAGGCATTCCGTTCATGGTGCGGCTGCGCAGCGACGTCTTCTTCATGACGTCGCAGTTTGAGAGCATCCACCAAGCGGCCATGCCGGAGCTTGATTTTACGCTGTGCGCGCTCGATCAAGACGAGTTTCGGTCGACCTCGGGCGAATCGGTGCAGTGTCTCGTCGACACGACGTGGAATCGCCAACGTTACGTAGGTTGAAGCCATTCGCCTGGTCTTTACGGACCGTCGCCTTTGCTGTGCCCAGGATGTGGTATGTCGATTTTCTAAAATAGTGATCGGCATGGACGTCCACTAGCTTCGCCACGAAGAACTCGAGATTGTTGGCCACCCCCACGGCAAGCAGACGTGTTCGAACCGGAATCACGTGGACCAGTTTCTTCCTAATATGGTACTATCGTTGACTCTTGTGCAATGACAATATTGTGTCCTATTTCTAGGTCAACCCCAAGCGACTTCGGTACCGCGGGCCGATGGAGTCGGGGGCATCGGGAAGCGCCGTCTTCAACTTTGGAGGCCGACTGGTCGGTATTCACCATCAACACTCGCTCAAAGTCGCACCGCATGAATGCACGCTCGTCAAGTATGCAATGTCGCTGAGTGTACAATGTGTCTATCGACTCGTAGACCGATCGTGGCGTTTACGCAACGTCAAATCCGTCCGAAAAAATACGAACTCACCAAATCTTAGCTGGAACCCTAGAGCCCCCCGTGCCGCTCTTGCTGACTTCGTGCCTTGGCCACGATTCGGTCAACCTGTACTGGCACCTCCCACCGACGTACAAGCCACTGAACGGCCTCCCAATTCAATTCACGCTCGAGGTGTGTTCCCGGTAAGCAAGCCTTCTGGTAGCTTTAGGGGTCGAGCATGTCGGTCGTTTAGCAAAGAGAAGCGGTCGCGGGGCTACTACGATCGATTTAGCGCGGTATACACGGGAACCAAACTCACTTTTACGGTACGTGTTATCCGTCTATGGATAATATTTACGAATCTGCTAATTTTTAAAAAAGATGTACGGTCTCGCGCCCGCCACCTTGTACGCTGCCCGGTGTCGGAGCTTCCACATCATGGAGAAAGGCGCGTGGTGTCCTCCGATGCAATTTATTACTCTCGAAGGTACATACTAGAAAATCCCAGTCGCCTCCAATATTTACGGTAGCGCCCACGAACGCATGGCAAGTGTCCCAGTGCACGTCGATTCGTGCTGCACTGCGCTTCTTGCGCGATTCGACTGACGTGCTCGTGCACCGAAAAGCCATCCAGTGGCTGTGCAACGCCTGCGACCATACGTTTGACGGTAATCCGATCTCGGACCCCATCCCTCATGCGCCCTAGACAAGGACGACGATACCGAGAGTAGCAACAACAACGCGGCGACATGTACGACACTTTATATACAATGTTGACATGTGGTATGGACAGAGTGTCTAGTGTGGCACGACGTCGAGTCCGACTGGATCGACGGGTGTGCGTTCGACGTACTGCAAAGCTCGGTCGACCGCTTCCGACATGCAATGGACCATGTCCTCGACTGCCTCCTCGTGCTCGGCCACGTGTGCAGCTTTCGCACCGCGTTTCGCGATCGGCTTGTGGACATTCCGCACCTACAATGGCTCCTCGACCTCTTCCTCGAGTTTCGCAGCGAAGCCCGACTCATGGAAGCCGGCTTGGCCTTTTTGGGCTACTGCATCAAGGATTTTGGTCGGTTGCGATAGTTTCCATCGCAAAATGTCATTTTGATTCGTTTTAGAAACCGGCAAGCAAGTGTTTATGGCGATCCACGCGATGCCGCGTGTGCTCGACCTCATCGAGACGCACCCTGCCGACGACGGCGTCGCCCGCGAAGCGTCCTACGTCCTCGCGGCACTCTGCCAGAATTTTCGTACACCATGCATCGTTTTGACACTGCGACGAGTGACACCATTGATAGCGCCGGGGCAACAACTTATGGGCATGCACCAAGGCATCCGGGTGCTCGCCAAGGTCCTCGCCGCGTTTCCGTACCACCCGAAAGTGCTCTACTGGGCCTGCCTTGCGCTGGGCAACGTCGCATGTGATTTTCGTACGAATTTCCCTATTTTTATTTTTATTATTTCGGGGTGGTGGCTAGCAGCCAATCAAGCGCGCGGCCAAAAGTACCACATTGTCGACTGCCTCGTCCAGAGCAAGATTAAATTCATCATGAAGCGGGACGCGCTCAGTGACGCAATGGCCAAGGAAGTCGAGATTCTCGACGGACTGCATGCCACGGCGATGGGCGAAGAAGCGCGCAACGTTATCGAGCGGCACGAAACCCGCTTGGAGGGTATCGATATCTTATTTTTGTAGCAAATGATGCCAATGTGTCCATTATCACTAGGACTTCGCGCCATGTACAACTATATGGAAAGTGAAAATGTCATTGGTGTCGCGAATTTTGCCCTCGACTATATGATGAACGACGAGCAAAAGGCGATCCAAGAACGCACGCGCCACCTCGTACGTCGTGATTTGTGCCATTGCAAATTTAAAAGGATTGTAGGCGCGCAAGATGGGAGCTGTGTACCTCCAATCGGCGCTTCAGCACTGGAAGCAACAGACTGACAAGGTGCGCGATGGTGCAGTCCTCCGTGCCTTCCTCGCACGTCTGCAGGAGCGAGAGCTCTTTGCGGCCATGCGCCAATGGGAGTGCGCGAACCGCCAGCTCCGCGTCGAGCAGCAAACATTTGCTGCGACGCTGAAGCAAACCGGCCTTGCGCTCAACTTGGGCAAGAAAAAAGCTGAGCGGTACCGTCTCATGGTCCTGAGCAAATAACCCATGCAGTCAAAGACTTTATGTCTTGTATACTGGGTGTGATTAGTCGTGAAAGCACATTGCTATGATTTGGAATCCTGCGGCCCGCCAATCACGACAAATATCCGCGGGCCGGAATCGACCAGCCAATTGGCAATATTAGTCACGTCAATAACTGGACAATACATAATTGTTGACTTCATAGTCGAATTTATCAGCAATACAAATCGTTTCAAATCCCCAAATAACTACCAGCATATATTTTAACCACGATTCGTTCCGTATTGTGTGTAAAAAAGTACAAAATTGCACAATTTGTCTGCGTATATGCACT